CTCCCCCCTCCTCTCCCCCTCCCTCTCCTATCAGCAAGGAGTTCCGGTCCTAGCTCAGGCTTCTTATTAACTAACTGATACATCTTAAATTAACCCATTTCTATTGATCAGTGTATCACCACGGGGATGTGGCCCACACGTAAAGTTCCTAAGGTTTCAGTGTGTCCTTTGGCAGGTATCTGGCATCTCTCTGACTCTGCCTGCTTTCTCTCTATGTCTCTGTTTGGATTTTCTGCCTGGCTTTACTCTACTAAGCCATTGGCTGAAACAGCCTTTTTAATAACCAATAGTAATAAAGCATATTCGTAACATGCAGGGCAAATCCCACACCAGGCACAGAAACAAGCAAACAAATTTAAAAAAAGGAATGAAGGAAGGGAAGGAGGGAGGGAGGGAGGAAAGGAAAGGAAGGAAGGAAGGAAGGAAGGAAGGAAGGAAGGAAGGAAGGAAGGAAGGAAGAGAGAGAGAAAGGAAGGAAGAAAAGAGCGACAGGGAGAGAGAAAGAAAGGGAATAAGGAAATAGATTGTATTTTCTTAACAGCGTAATAGGATTTCTTTAAAGTCTAGCCAGTGTTTGGTGGGGCTGAAGCTGCCCTTCTCCTTGAACTTTGTCATGCTTTGACCACGGTAATGAGCCATCTCAGAGATTCTGTGAGTTTGATTAACTTTTTTGGAAGTACAGGAAGGCATTTTTCTACTGAGCTTGGAAAGGTTTGAGGTTTTGTTTAAGACTTGAGACTCTCTGGGCAGTGTTCCACATGGGGAAAGATCACAGATGGTCCCCCATCCCTTCTTAGCTACTGTGCCTGGACCCATGGAGCTGTAGGTTTTCTGAGTGGCTGGTGCCCAGAAGTGGACCAGGGACGCTTCTATGCCATCTGTGCAGTGTTCCCGTCCATGTGAAAGCTCTCGTGAAGAGTGAATTATTCATTGTTTCAAAGGGGGCTGAAGCAAAGTCTTTTCTAAACTGACAGGCGCTAACAAAGATGCATGCTACTAACCAGCAGTGACGTTTGATTGTACTTGATTTTTTGTGCCTTGTGTGTCAAGTACTACTTGAATTCAGAGAATGCACTGATTTGCATATTGCAAAAAAAAATGTTTTCTGCATGCCTCTGGCTTATGTACCCGATGAAGCTGTTGAAATTTCACTATTTATGTTCCTTGGTTTTTAAAAATTACCAAGAGAATTCCCAGAATACACGGTTCCTTAGAGGATAATTTCACTATGAGTGTAGCTACAGTATTCATGTAGTACTTACAACAATGACAACATTGTTTGTATTGGTACCTGCAATATAAATTCTTAAGCACCTTGTTACACACTTAGGTAGCTACTAATTTAATTATTATGGCAAATGTTCAGACAGGAAGAGGGGAGGCTGTGTGTGGAGGCCCAAAAATGTTAGCCTATTTCCACCTTGTCTGATGGTCAGAGAATTTGGCGGTTACTCAAAATGCTTGACAAGCATAACTGCATGTCCCAACTCAGGATGTGATTACTTGGTTCTTTTGACACTAAGATAGCTCCTACAAGTAGATCCATTGCGTCCTGACGGATGGTCAGGATATGCAAACGTACTTCTGCTCCTTCTTTTGTAACTATGAGGACACCTGGGAAGTGGCTAACTTCAGGATAGTGGTCTAGGATGACTTTACTGCCTAAACAACAGGATGCTAATGGTTTGATGTCTCAAAGTATTGAAGCAATTAACTGTTTGAGTTGTCCTTTGCATCATGTTAAGTCTTTTGTTGCCTTTTTCCCTGTTTTGTAATGGGGTACAAAAGCATATGGAAAATTAAACACGGATGAATTCAGTATTCACTGGAATACCCTCTGGTACTGTTCTATGGTTTCTATTTTGTTATTTTCACACATGTCTTCACATTCTTTACTAATATTTCTAAATCCCCACATCCCTACACTGGTAAGAGGTGTTTTTGTTGATGCTGATCCCTGAGATATGGCAATCCAATGTGGCGCAGTCACCAACTGCAGTTTTGAACAACAGCTTTGTTGAACGACTATTTTAGGTACATGTCATTTACTCATTTTGAAATTTATTTTATTAGCTTCTATTAATTATACAAAAATTGATGAAAAATTTTAACTGATATGAGATTGGATCTCAGTGTAATTTTGACTTCATATTTCCCTGATAGCTAATAATACTGAACATTTTTTTCATATATCTATTGGCTACTTGTGCTTCTTATTTTGAGAACTAGCTGTTCAGTTTATTTGTCCATTTACTAAGGGTTAGGAATATTTCCTAACCGAGCCTCTCCACCTATGCCAAATAATCCCAATCATGCCAAATCAGACCAGATTAAAAAGATATCCAGGTTTAATTAGATACCTGCACCCTCGGGTGGTTCTGAGGGAATACTGGAAGGTTACCAATGCAGCTACCCACCAGAGAAGAAGAGGGGAGCAGTTTAATTCTAATCTGTCAGTTATGCCTGGGACCACTGCTGCTGTCCCTGTTCTTTCTGTAATTTCTCACAGAGACAGCATTTCCCTTGGAGCGTCTGTACATTTCCCCTGTGCCTGTTTCCCAGTTGCTTGGGCATTTTAAGAGATCACTGCCATAAATGACATGCCATTTTTTTGTTCATTTTCATATTTGTTTCTTAAGCAATCTGTATAAATACAGTTAGCTGCTTTTAGAATATTTGCCTGATTAGTCGACAAGTTGCAGAGAAGATGGAGAGGTGTTTACCACTCTCAAGGTAGTGGGACCTGGGAGAATGGAGCCAACAAAATGAGGCAGAACAAAGTCTCATGCTATAGTCAACTTTATTTAGAGCATCAGACAATTTATACTCTGAGGGTTAAGAGGAGTCACTTGAGTAAAATGTACAATCACAAGGGAAAGCTGCACATGGGGGACCTAGCCACATTTGGCAAAAGCATGCTTTTCCAAAGAGGCAAATAAACAAACAATAGCCAACTGTAGTGAATAATCTGAAGTAAACTCACGTGTATCAGCTATACCCAGGAAGGGCACAAAAGCACAATCCGAGAACAAGTGCATGTTTTTAAAGAAACTGAGGTCACAAGACTCTTGTCTTGGTTTCTTGGAGTTTTCTCATAAGCACTCAAAAATTCCTCATAAGATTCCATTCTTGGACCATGTTTTGACAAAGAGGGAACAAGATAGGAGGGGAGAGGTAGAGAAGGGGGGGCAAATAAAGAGGGAGATAGAAAGAGAAAATACCCAGATATTAACACTAACCCCACTTTGAAAAAAGTAATATTGAACATGTAAACCCAAGTAAAGAGATTTTACCTGGGTACAGTGGCAGGAGCCTCTTGGGTTTTGTGAGATATTTTCAGAGGTCAGGGACCACAAACTATTAAAAAAGTGTGCTTTATAATGACATAATAGATTATGTTGGTAACCACTTCTGCTTTCATACTGAAAAAATACATAATATAAACTTTTCTTGCAAGATTATAATTTTCAGAGCAGAGTAGGTGGAAATGTGAAATATTTCTTAGACATCTCTGACTTGTAAGTGTGGGGGAGGGAAGAAGAGGAGAAAGTCAAGAGTGCAATCTCTATCAAGTCTCAGGGGAATCTAGATGTTTCCTTTAAAACTTTTATAAGAATCAGGTCACCTCTTTGTGTCATGGTTGCTGTCTATATTTGTGATGTCAGGAGTTATATTTTTTGGAAATTCACTGATGGTGAGGATTTGTTTTCTTGGCCATCTTTAATTTACATCATAATATTTTATTACCCTAAGTTTATGAAATCATTGTAAGCATGTCTGTAGTATAAGCAGTTGTTCAAAGAGAGACATGGGATTCTGTTTGGCCCATTAAGAACCTACATTTTTCCAACTTTTGGGAAAGAGAGATACTTCTACAATTGGGGTTGTTGGGATTGCTGGCTCTAAGAGCTACAGTGGGCATCTTACCACACACAAAGAAGCAACCTGAGCTGATATATGGAGAAAGACACGGCTTGGTTTTTGTAACATAGCTAACATCATATATAAACTCTGGACTTGAATGGATTAGTGTGCCTTTTAATCATGAGAAATACTGTGTGAACTTTTATTGAAAATATTTCTCTCTATCTATCTATTATATACTCCAAATTAATAGACAAACTCTACTAAAAGTGTTACATATACATTAATTTTTATTATATTTCCTTTTAATTTTTCTTATCCTTATTTTAAAAACAAAAATAATTTTAATTAAAACAATTTCTTGGCATTGTTCAAAATATTATAAGACTCTGTTTACAAAGGAAAACTTCTAATCTTGTTTTTAAAAAAAGGCAAACCAGTATGCTACATTAGACACAAGACAGATGATGGACAGCTCCACAGCCACATGAGCAATGTCTCTGCTTTATTACACAGGTAGTTAGTTCCTTCAGTGAAAGCCTGGAGTCTTGTATTTGCTTTATGCATATTGGGTCTTGTTGTGTTACTTGGCAGGAACCTGTACTCCCTTGAGTGAGCTGGGTTCATTGGTCAGAACACATTCCAGCATCGACATCAATTCCATTAATCATGGGCAGGCATGAATAAGTGAGTGAGATAAACCAATAAAAAAATAACTGGTGAATAATGAACACTGTTGGGCTGTGTATGATACTCAGTAATACGAGATCTGAAATCCTTTAAATTCAGGATACATGAAATGCCATTTAGGAAGTCTTACATCAAACAGGAAAATAATAGTTTATTCATTAGAATAGGTAGTAGTATTGATGTGGTGACTTGAATGGGAACAGTTCCCAAGGCTCCCATGTTTGACTACTTGGTCCCCATTTGATGGAGCAATATACGAAGGGCTACAAAGTATGGTCTAGTTGGAGGAGATGTGTAACTAGGGGTGGAATTTAAGGTGTCCAAAGCCTTCCTCCATCTCCTGTATGCTTTCTGCTCCTCTTTAGGGTTGGAGATTTGAGCTCTCAGTTTCTAGTATTGCTGCTTCCAGTTTTTGTCTCTGTTCTGCCATCAGGAACTCTATTTGGAACCATAGTTCCAAATAAATTTTTTCTTCTATAAGTTGCCTTGGTCATGGTGTTTTATCACAATAGTAGAAAAGTAACTGAGACAGTTGGGTAAGGGGTAGGGATAGTGACAGTAAGAAATAACTTCTTCAGAGGGACAAAGGTGTCTTCTTAAATGTAATTCTTATGTGAACAATCAATGAACACATAACACAAAATAGTATTTAACACTTACAGAATGTGGTATAGATATTACAACTATCTTTGAAGAAAAGGTGATTATTGAAAAAAAAATTGGAATAATACTTAGTGATCAAGGAATATAAGAACGTCATAGGTACAAAATTTTATTTGACTTTAAATTCTTCCAAAAGGAAAAAAGATCAAACTCATCATATTGTTATGGAATTTGTTTTATTTTTATTAATAATTACAGACATACAATGCAAAATAGTGTAAGGAAAGAACAAAACTACTAGATTTTTTTTCTTTCAAAATGGGGTTTTCTGTGTAGCTTTGGAACCTGTCCTGGAATTCGCTCTGTAGGACAGACTGGCCTTGAATTCACAGAGATCTGCCTGCCTCTGCCTCCCGAGTACAGGGATTAAAGGTGTGCATCTCCACCACCTGTCTTAGATTATTTGAATAAGGTCTATGAGGAGTTTTAGGCAAGTGTAGTGGTTTGACTTTACAGGGGGTTACAGTTGCCTTTGGTCTCAGAAGAGATTTTGGACTGTGGATATTAAGCAGTCTTGAGACTGTGATAGACTATAGGGAATTTCGAAGTTGGACTAAATGCATCATACATTTTGATATAACTATAATCCTGTGAGCAAAAAGAAGTGAAGTGTGGTGGTTTGAATAAAAATGGTCCTCCTAAACTCATATGCTTGAGTGCATAGTCACAAGGCAGTGAAACTATGTGAAAGGATTATAAGGATTAGGAGGTGTGGCCTTATTGGATTAGGTATGGCCTTGGAGAAAGTCTGCCACTGGAGGTGGGCTTTGAGGTTTCAATAGCCCTTGCCAGACCCAGGCTCTCTCTGCCTATGTATTTAGATGTAGCTCTGAGATACTGCTCTAGTATCTGCCTGCATGCTACCCCGCTCTCTATCATGATGATAATGAATTGATTATGTCTCTGAAATAGTAAGCAAGTCTCCAGTTAAATGCTTTCTTTCATAAGACTTGCCTTGGTCATGTTGTCTCTTCACAGCAATAGAACAGTGACTAAGATAGCAAGTCAGATATAGGGACTTGGGCCTAACCATGGTTTTCTTCATATGTCAGCCCAGATTTCTTCCGTGTGTGTGATATGATGCCCACAGTAGCTCTTAGACCCAGTAATCTCAACAAACCCAGTTACAAAAGCACCTCTCTTTCCCAACAGTTTGAAAAGGAAAGTTTGGTTCTCAGTAGGTCAAGAAACACCCCATGTTTCTCTCTAAACCATTCCATGTATTACAGGTATTAAGTGCTCTAGTTGGCCGTACCTTAACGAGAGCCTTTGGGGTCCAGTTCCAAGGCACTCTCAAGGTCCAGAAGAAAAGCAGCAGCCAACAAAGTACTTGGGATGTCTGAGAGTGAATGAATCTCTCACCATATGCTTTTCAGATTCAATCTCCTTTTTTGTTTTGTCTCAATTCTAATCCTTCTGTCCTACTTCTAATTCCTCCTAGCTTCTTCTCTTGCCTGAAAACTCTTCTCCTTTTGGTCAAGTGAAGGCATGAGTCTTAGAGGTTAGACTGGCATAGAGGAAGCAATTCATTCTCATTGGGCTCTGATGGCCAAGAAAAGAACTTGATGTAGAGATAGACAATCAACTAGAAAACGCTAAGTGACTGTGATCAGATGCTTAGTTGAAACCCGTTTTTTTTCTAATATCAGTGTTTTTCAGATTCCTTGAGACAGAAGAGTGGAAATCAGGAAATGAATCATACAGTTATTTCAGCTTGATTTGTCTAATTTATTCATGAAGGCCATTATAAAAAATGCAAAGGGAGGGAGAGAAACTGCTCCTGTGCTATAATTATGCAGGTCTACCATCAAGCTGGCTTTGATTCTCCTCTAGGGAAAAATCAGCCTCAGGGTGTGGTCACCTGTGAGCTCTTACTGCGCCTATTTTAGGCTTCAAACGGCCTAAACGTAGGTTTGTGTTCAATTCATTCAATTGTTAAAGCGAAATTCAGTTCTAAGAGAATGGTCTAGCAAGTACTGCTGTCCCAGGCACCAGTCGTAAGACCAGACGATGTTGTGGGAGTGCTTCTAACTAGACGGAGGCAAAGAAAATGAGTGGAGAGGAAGAGGGAAAATAAAATGGAAGGGGTGGGCACCTAGCGCTGTGAAGGGAACCTTCAGCTCCTGCCTGGCGACTTATCCTGATATAGCCCGCAGCTGTGAACTAACAGATCAAGCTGTTTTCTTCTGGGTGCAGGTTCTTAATTCCCTTCATCTGTTGTGTTTCTTTTGATTGCCCCTAGTCTCTGCTGAGCATCCGAGGCTCCCTTTTCTCTCCGCGACGCAACAGTAGAGCCAGCCTTTTCAGCTTCAAAGGTCGAGTGAAGGACGTGGGGTCTGAAAATGACTTCGCCGATGATGAACACAGCACGTTTGAGGACAACGACAGCAGAAGAGACTCTCTGTTTGTGCCGCACAGACACGGAGAAAGGCGGCCCAGCAATGTCAGCCAGGCCAGCCGGGCCTCCCGCGGAATACCCACTCTGCCCATGAACGGAAAGATGCATAGCGCGGTGGATTGCAACGGTGTGGTCTCTCTGGTCGGAGGCCCCTCTGCTCTCACGTCTCCTGTAGGGCAGCTACTGCCAGAGGTGAGGCCTCTGAACAGTTGAGGGCACAGAAGGAGGCCCTAGTGCAGTCAGGACTGTGGGTTCAATGTAATTTCCCTGCGTCGGTTATTCCCAGGCCAAGAGTTTTTTTTTTTTTTTTTTTTTGGTATTACCAAGCTATGAATTTATCTCGTCAAAATCTTCTACACATCTCGACAAATTGAGATCATACAAGGAGTCCTTAGAAACAATTGTCCTTTATCATTACTACAACTTGAAATTTAACAAAAAAAAATCACATTTTTTTTGCTGGGCAAATATGTAATTAGTGTGATTATTATTATTTGGTTTGTTGAGACAGGGTTTGATAGCCCTGGCTATCCTGAAACTCTCTTTGTAGACCAGGCTGGTCTCGAACCCAGAGATCTGCCTGCCTCTGCCTCGCAAGTGCTGGGATTAAATGCATGCATGCACCACCACCAGCCTGGCAATATGATTAACTATTAAGAAATTCATGTGCATGGTTACATAAATATGCATTTCAAAGGTTTCCCCATCCTGCTCCTTTAAAAACACCTCCACACTTCCACTGGCTGTTATGCTCTGGCTAATTGTATCTAAATCCCTTGGTCACATTTCTCTCCCTTCTCCGCAGTCTGTCCTTCCCCCAGCACCAACTCAGATGACCCAGCTACTCTACATCTCTTAGATTTTTTTCTAGAGGATTTCAACTTTTGTATCACTGCCATAAATTCTTGTTATATGCAAAGGTGCCTGAAATCAAACATATGGAAAAGACTTTCAGATTAATAATGTATATCAGAATTCATCATTGATGGTTCCTGTTAGGAATTTTTCCTAATGCGAGCCCTCTGCCGACACAAAATCCCAATCAAGCCAAATCAAAACAAGCCAAATTAAAAAATATCCAGGTTTAATGGGATTCCTGTGCTCTCGGGTGGCCCCGAGGGGGAACCAGGAGGCCGTGAATGTGACCACCAGGAGAAAGGAAAAGGGACTCCTCTTTGGGGTGTTCACTTAAATACCCTACGGGAGTGGCCCTGACCTCCCCCCAAGGGAAGGGTCAGGACCTGGAATGCTGGGATTTGGAGTCCAGACCAATACAGCTCTCAGGCCTATAGGCTGGAGGCTATGCTCCCAACTTAATATTACCTTTATAAAACAAGACACTCTTCATATTGGCATTAAATAAAGCATCATTTGACCTTTACAAAATACTCCAACCATGTTGTCTGATCATATCACAGTATCCTTAGCTGGGTTAAAATCTCCTTTGTATAATTACTTTTATGTAACTTCATGTTTTAAGGGGACAAGCCCCTTAGGACCCCATTACAATGGTTCAGTTAGCTCTCAGTCACTTTTTAGAAAAGCATCTCGCCTTGGAATACTGCCATCACTGTTGCTCACCACTCATTTCCCACGGTCTCTTCTCACCCTTAGCTCCCAGAGAAGTTTCCAGGTAGCCTGGGAAAATAGCAGGCCTCAAAGCCGGCAGAACTTTGTTGTGAAGCAGACAAGATTTCTAGTAAGGAAATGTCATATCTCCTTAGAAAAATAATCTTAGCCAACTATGTGCAACACATTGCTCAGAACACTGCAGAGCTAATACATTGAACCATCACAACTACTCATTATATTTACTAATTTATCTCTGAGGCCTGTGCATGGTACAGCTAAGATTTGATTCCAGATGTGCAGGCTAGAGGTCTTACTATATTCCATTCATAGTGAACTCTGACATCCCATTGCATTTTTTAAATGGGAAGCACAGATGAGTAAGAATGAAAACAGTTTCCTTTAAATCAGTGCGACCACCCAGCTTAACCAGTGTTTCTTTTCATTTCTAAATTCTCAAAAGTTAAAACACAGTTTAGTTAAAATACCAGAGACCTAAAACAAACAAAGAAATAAACCGAATGCATTTGAATGTTCCTCAAGTAGGATCCGAAGAGGAATGAAGTGGAGACATTGAGAAAGGAAGGCCAAGAAGGCAGTAGCAAGCTGGTACCAACCCAGTCCTGATACTCTCGTGGAACACGGAACTATTACCACTTCTATGGGTAGATAAAGAAAAACCAGGTTTCTCAAACTGTGTTTCAGACTCTCTCAGAATGAGTCTCAGAAACAGAAATTTCATATCTTCTCGCTGCACCCAGAACTACTCTAACCGAAGCTTTGAAGAGGGACCCTGGAAATCTTTTTCTTATGAAACTTTCCACATGGTTCCTGAATACAGAAGTAGGCTTATCACAGATCTTGATACCACTGGGGTATAATTCCCAATTTCATTGCTTTAATATAAGTACAAATCCATTTATCGGAATCGCCCTGACATTGTTCAGGAGTCAACATAGATTTATCCTATCAGGAAAGGTAGAATACACCAATGAAGGCCGATTGGGCCTACTTTGAAGCCAAACTTGTTGTAACCTGATAACCTGCAAATTCCCATCCCTGCATTCTTTCAGCCATGAAGTCAATGCTTTGAAGCAAGATTCCATCCTACGGAAAGAGTTGAAGGGACACAAACATGCAACCAGGAAACAAATAGCAGCAGGCAAATGGCCTGTCCCAAAGCTCACTAGTTCCTGTTTATTGTACATACATTCCATTAAGACAATTAACTTCAGAAGAACTATCTGAATCATATCACTGGGGATTTTAGAATCTACCATTAAAACTTACGCAGGTCTGGAATTTTGAATGTGGTTTTGCCAGAAGCAGAAGAGGTGAAATGGCGTTTATATGACCTCCACATTTTCCTTAAAGGAAGTAAAACATTTTCATTTTGTGAGCCCACCTTTACTTTAATGGTCTTACTTTCATTGAGGGATTCTCTCTTTTCTCCTTGATCCAACTTCTCCTTTATCTTGAAATTAATTTGAGGTGACTGTATCTGTCTTTATCGCCGCTCATGGTGACGTCAGCTGAGTGGAAAGCACTTTGAAAATGCATGATTATGCAGATGAGTAAACCCAGCAGTCGTGTCCCTTGCTCGCATCACAGTGAGAGCCAAATTAATAAGCAGAACCCATGCCGCTTTAAGCATTGGCAAAAACTCTTATAGCTGATTGGTTTTTACTCGTTTAGCTCTTTAGTCTTTTAGGGGGCCTGCCACCCAGCCCCCTACTACTTCCCTTCTGCCTTCCCTTCTGCCACCGTGTCGTCCCTGCCATGGGGTTGGGGGGGGTATAGCCACTTGAACCGTCTGTGAGCCAATACAAGGAGCTGATCTCTTGTGTTGCTTTTGTTTGGTATTTTCCCACAGCAATGAGAACGCAAGACACTGTCTACACGTGTGGAAGCCTGGGAACCCTTGGTTAGGTAGTGTCTACAACCTGAATACTTTCAGGTTTGTTACCCAAAAGTAGTGATTGTTTTGTCGTCTGGACTTTTGGTATTTCAGGGCACAACTACGGAAACAGAGATAAGAAAGAGGAGGTCCAGTTCTTACCATGTTTCCATGGACTTGTTGGAAGACCCTACATCAAGGCAAAGAGCAATGAGTATGGCCAGCATTTTGACCAACACAATGGAAGGTATGTCAAAAGGTCCACACCGTCGCTCGTGGGGAGTGAATTGGCAAGGATGTGAAACCCCTTGCCTAAGTTTCAAGGCAATACTTGCAGAGCCAGTAGCGCATCACTAGTTCTTTTAAAGGGGAAGGTCAACTCCGTGCACAGCACATGGAATCTACTGTTGTGTGTGGACTTTTAAACATACCGCTAGGAGAGCTACAAATGTAAGGTACCTTTGGAATACGACTGTCAGAGCTTAAACTCTAAACTCTTGAAGTTTGATGATAACATTAGTAAGAGAGTAATGATTTGTGCTCATCGTTATGGTGCTAATGCAGTTCACGAGTTATAAAATGTAACAAGCTATACAATTTATTGACTCAACCAGAATTATAAATAAAAGTGTGAGTGAAGGTGTCATGCCTCTTTGAGGCTATATTTAAAACCTGACAGTTCTACTTTTGTTCTTCTCTCCCCCCCCCCCCCCCCCCCCCCCCCGCTCTCCACCTATATATCTCTGATGAAATATTAGATCAGCTTTGACTTTGTTCAAAGATTATATTTGAGTAATTAACAAACTACCGATAAGTCTGGCTTTCATACTACCAAAATGAAAGTTTGGAGGACTTTCATTAACTGGATCACGTTCAGGCTCTGCCACAGGTTAAATGTACTAATTTACGACTTGAATTTCACTTTTCAGCCAAAATGTGGACTGTAAGGTTTAGGCGTAAAGTTGTTTTAAGGATTAAATAAGGCAACACGTGTAAAGCACCCCCGTCCTTTGCATGCTGAAGACTGTCAAAAGATGCTATGGTTATTAACTGTTCTATCGTGCTACCTACGTAAATTCATGTGGTGTTTTTTTTTCCTTTTATATTATAAGTGAAATCAACAACAACTGTCAACTTCAATACATGGAAAATATATTCATCTACACTGTGTTCATCTGCAATCCCCAACCCGGCTGTTCATATCTTCCTTTTTTCCCTTCCTGCTTTCATACTAAATGTATTCTATCACGCCATCTTTTTACAAGTCTCCCTGATTCCTGTTCCCACATATGTAAATGTGTGTTTGAAAATGTTAAGTCAGAAGAGAACGCTCAGAGGGCACCTAAGGGTGAGAGAAAATGAGTGTGTGCATGACTTTATTCTTTAAAACTCCTCTCAAATTTTAGTAGCTATATACACTGTATCTTAATCATATCTCCACTTCCTCCTTCCCTCCCCTGGCCCTCCTCCCAGTATATCTCCCTTCCCAATTTTAGTTTCTTCAGAGACTGGGTAGATTCTTAGAAAGAATTTTTTTTTTTTAGTCATAATGCTATAAACCTTATCATCTCAGTATTGAAAATCCTGAAAATCATAACCAGAAAAAAATTACCATAATAGAAGACTCTGTCATCACAGACACGATGTTGTTACAAGACCCAGTTTTCCCAGAGTCCTGATCTTTTCATTGCCTTCAATGGAATATTAAACTCGAGTCCATTCTTTCCCAACCTTGCCTGCCTAGCTCACACTCCTTCTTCCCCCCAGTTGCCAGTAGCTTGCTCCTCCCTATCCCTCCAGGTAAATCTTTTGAAGAATCTCTGGTCTTCTGCTCCTTGCCATAGCAAAACCACTGAGAGGAAGGGGCCAGTGGTTCTGCTTCCGATGACAGCAGCATGGCTGCTCCCCAAAGCAGGAAGTAGAGAAGGAGCCAGGGTAAGTCTTAAACCAACAGTCACACTTTGCACTTCTAGTAGCGTTAAGTTCGGACTAATGTAAGGAGTAACTGAAGCAAAAAGCAATCAAACCATTACAAATTCAACCTGCCCATGAACTGACCTCCAGAGCTCAGAATAAACAAGCACACAACTTTCTACACAAAAACATGCCTCCCGGAGTTGGCTAGAATGAAGGGGCTGTTCCAGAAGTTAGAAGAACTTAGGAAGCAACAGACTACAATATTTTGTTCTTAATGTCTTCAGAGCTTTCTGTGAATGAAGTTCATTTTCGTGAGATAGTTGGTTAAACTTCATTCTTTTATTATTCCCATTTGTGATTAAAAAAAAAAAAAGAAAGGCTGATATTTCTTTATTCGGTTACATCTGGACAGTTTGAACACGACATTGGCCAAAGTTAGTTGACGGCAGTCAGTCTTCCGCATACAACTTGGACAGTAAATTTCCTTTGATACAGTCCTGTTCTATTCCCATTAATGGTGATGCAGTTTCTTGGTTGTTATTACCTGTTTATTTAAATGTGGTTTCTTCTAAAATTTGGTTCATCTTTCCTTTCATGAACGAGGCTTGTTAACGCGGCTGGCAGCTTTTGCGTTCCTTCATTTCAACTTCAGCCAACTCTCCATTATCCAGAGTTATGAACAGTCATGCCTAATGATGAGCAAGAGTTATTATGAAATGTGAAGTTGCATAGAAATGTTTCCAGGATGTACTTTGGATGCTGTGTATGCTGGGGCATAAGCTAAAGTTACTGAAGGAATTAAGACGAATCAATAGCAGATTAAAAACTTAGCAGCTGCTGCCTCTTCAGGTGGGAAACCCCCACAGGAATAATGGAGAAGTGGCTGTAGCTGTCTTGGGTGCTTCGTTTGTTCCAAAGTGGAAGATAGTCCCATGGGGAGTTAATAATTGAATGATTTTATTTTAGACTTAAGACAACTTTGCTCCGGCTTTCCCTAGTGTCAAGACCATCAGCCCCCGCTGACTTTTCCCTGTGAATGTTTCTCTGACTTCTTTTTGTTTTTTTTCCTGTGCTATGCTCTTTGCTTTTCTTTTTCCTCTAAATCACAGCTTGTGTAAATTAAAATGGAACTTCTCTGATAGCGCATATGCAGAAACTCTGCAGCTTCTCTTCTGTTATTTGTTGCAAATTATATAATCTTTCTTAGTTTCCTGTGAGACCATAAATGTGTTTGGGAGTACTGAAAGCACATATCAAGTAATAATGCATATATAAAGTAAATAAATAAAAGTGAATAATAATTTTATTTATGGGATTTTTTTTCACTGACTTAAAAAATATTCTTTATTTTTGACCAACTTACAAATCTTAAGAGATGGAAATAAAATGTCCACTTAAGAACTTCAGTATTCAAAGAGAAACTTAAAGTGTTTAACTTTAATAGAATTCCACTAAAGCAGTTAAGAATAAATTGACTTAATAAAATGATTAACTTTATAGCAGAAATAAGTAGCAAATGTTTATTAGGAGAACAAAAATCTGGCAACATACTTCTCCATTTTCTATGCTGCTTCCTCCCTCATGAGTTTTACTCTGTTATAAACTATATCAGTGGTGAAGAAATAACCCTAGTTGCTACAAAAACATAGGACTAATATGGCTGGTCAGAAACCACACGCCATGGAATGAACAAAGAGGGAAGTTGCCTTCTGTTAATGGTAAGAAGGGATGGTCACGTGTGTGGCAAAGCAGGTAATCTTCTAAAATGGCATTGGCAGAAACCAACAGATTTGGTATCCTTTCCCACCGAAGACTTCACTAAGTGAGCGTTCTACCAAAGGAAGATAGAGACAATGATAATATTTACTAAGCAGGTGACATTTAGAAGGTCTCTGAGTTGCTTAATTTTAGAAGAAATGATCAAAAACCTTGTAGACAATAGTCAGAGAAGTTTGATACTGCAATGCCATTTAGCTTAAATCCTTCATAAAAGCAATGTTTCCTTAACATTTTAACGTGCAATTTTATGCCGTGTGTTTGATACAACAGTTACAGATTCCAGTACCTTAAAAGTAAAAATAAATAGAAAAATGTAAGAATTCTATGAATGTTTTTTTATTAAATCTTGTATTTTATTAACAGTACCTGAATCTCATTTTTGTAATGTGTTAGCATGCTAACAGTGAGGACCCCAATTTATTCAATCAATTATTTCCTTTTTTTTTTGGTACTTTCTGGTTATTGATATATAGAGTACAAGAAACTCGTTGAACTTAATATGCAAGTCCATGTAACTAAAACTTATTATTAGCGTGAGAGGTTTTTTTTTTCTTTTTTAACTCAGAGGAGCAATTCCATTAAATGTCACTCACTGGACTCCCTCCAATGATATCTGAGAGACTGAGGTTCCCTGTGACTCACTGAGGTTGTTAGGGTGTCCTCTGGGGGAATCATTGGTAACTACCCCTTTGTTCTGTCTGGAATATAGATGGACGTGTGTGTAACGAAAGTTCTGCCATTTTGTTTTTTGTAACCTTGTAGACCATTTTTTTTAAAAAAAGAAAAAAATCAGTATTGAAAATATAGTCTTAGAAACTATGTTTATCTGAGCATCCCTGGGAAGTTTATTAGCCTTCTTCCTGTGACTGCAAACACATATTTTTTCCTCTTTCATCAGATTATTTTTTCTTCTGAAAATACATTTAGATTATTTTTAAAGAATTACTTTCAACTTAAACCAAAGACTGGTGAATAGGAAGTAAAGAGTTTTCATGAATATATTTCCTTTTTCCTCCCCAGAACTTGAAGAATCCAGACAGAAATGCCCACCCTGCTGGTATAAATTTGCTAACATGTGCCTGATTTGGGACTGTTGTAAGCCATGGCTAAAGGTAAAACACCTTGTCAATCTGGTAGTGATGGACCCATTTGTTGACCTGGCCATCACCATCTGCATTGTGTTAAATACACTCTTCATGGCCATGGAGCACTACCCCATGACGGAGCAGTTCAGCAGTGTGCTGTCTGTGGGGAATTTGGTAAGACTCCGTGAGGGTTCTTCTTCCTACTGGTTCATGAATGTTTATACTCATTTTATGTGTTACTGTCAAATAAGATAGCAACTTTCTGATCATCTCCTGTATCTTTTATTAAGCAGTAAAAATAGGTTGCTACACTTAAACGTAGTGCAAAGGATTCAAGTGTAATTTGATTTAAAAATGAATTTAAGTCGCTTCACTATTATAATGATAATTATGGCCAGGCATAATGGCGCATAACTGTAATCCCAGCAGTTGGGAGATGAAGGCAGAGAGGTCACAAATTCTAGGGCCATCTGTGCTACATAGGGAGATCCTACCTCAAAGCCAAAAAAGGAAGAAGCATAAACAAAATTAGTGCCATCCAGATGACTCAGCAAGAAAAGGAGATTTTTCACCAAGTCTAATGACTGATGACCTAAACTGGACACTTGACCCCAAAAGGTAGAAGAGAACCAGCTTCTGTAAGTTATCCACTGGTGTGCCATATTTAAACATGTGGTTCTTGAAACACACACGATAAGTAAGTGAGAACATTATTAAGAAAAACAAGATTATACTAGAAATTTGAGAATGTACATTCATATATAATATGAAATGCGTATTAAGTTCTCATGGGCCTCAAACAAATACCTTAAAACATAGTACATTTCTTATGTTTGAATTGAACACTACATATATTGTTTATTTTATTTCTGATAGATTACAAGTGACACAATAAAGTATTGCAATAAACACATATTTTATATGAAGTTCTATATCAAATATCATACACACTTTATTTTCTTTCTTCCATCTTTTCCCCCACTTTCCCAATGGAGACCATTTTGATTTAACAAATCATTTGAGAAAAAAGAGATTGTGGATCAGGATGTTTTCCCAAGAAGACCTTCTTCCAAGCGCTCTGCCCCATTGGGTGCATGCCTTTTTGTAGCCTGAGGAAAGGAAATTTCACTCAGAAACAGTCTGTTTGTCTTATAGTTGACCTTAGATTGGATTGGTCACCTGTGTTTCATCATCATGTTTTCAATTATGCTCAAGGTTTTTTAATATCTCTAGGTTTTTCATTGGTTTAATAGGTATTCAGTTGCTGCAATTAACTGAGGCTCGGTAGCTTGGTTATAGGGTACAGTCTAATTTAGTTGACCATTTATTTACAAATCAAACTAGGTTACAGTTCACTATGTATGATGGCAACTTTGGGCCAAACTTGTTCTCAAAGAAAGAGACTGCTTTTTAGGATACATCTACTTTTCAGTTTACGTGAACATAATAATTTGAAAAAGCAAAGCTAGTGGATTTTGATAGCACACAAACTCTTAAAATGTATTGGTCTTTAAGAAGATAATAATGGTAGCAGCCAAGAGGGCAACTAAGGGCCTAGAGAGTTTATTGGTTGGTAGAGGTGGTATTTTTAGTGTGAGGGAAGGACGGAGTCTCTGTTGTTTTCTATAAAATCCTAACAGGGAAACAACCAGTAGTGGGAACAGATTGAGACTACAGGCCACTTAAGAAAGCAAATGCCTCATAAAGTTCAAGAGGCAGTTACCACAAAGGGGAAAATCAGCTCAGAACAAGGGTGAAGCTTCCATTTTAATAAGAAGAAAAACGTCATGTAGGGAAATAAACACAATCTGTTGGTAATGAGAGACAAAAATCATGTTGGCTAACTCCAATCACCAGTGAGAAATGCTGAGTGTAAAGGGCAAAGAAGTTGAGGTAAGTGGAAGAGAAAGAAGGATTGAAGCAATTGTAGAAAATGGAAATGGAAAAGATTGATTTTATTTTCCAAAATTAACAATTGTTAAAAATGTTTACTGTCTTTAAAAGCACAAGTGACTATGCTTGTTACAGTCCCCATGAAGTCTCCTTAACACCAGTTTCAACTGCAGATCCATGGAAGGGGGCCAATCTATTATACTTTGGCAACCAAAGTCTGTGCTTCTGGGGAAGCACCTGGTGAAGTTTTGGAAGACAAGAGTGATTAGCCACATCTGAGCTCAGTATGCCAGGTGCACTTTTTGTATCAAAATCAGAGTGTTCATTAAATATATGAATCTATACTTTATCACCTGGCAAACCTTAAATATAATGAGCAATTAAATATTAGGCTGCATGTAAAACACGCGAAAGCATCAGCTTGTGGCATGCAAACCAATCTTTAAAATCCAGAATTTGGGTTGGATTTGCTATTAGTTGCATTGTTTCTATTCGAACATAGGCATTCTTATAATCCGCCGAACATAGGCATTCTTATAATCCGCCGCATTTCTCATGTAGGTCTTCACTGGGATCTTCACAGCAGAAATGTTTCTCAAGATAATTGCTATGGATCCATATTATTACTTCCAAGAAGGCTGGAATATCTTTGATGGATTTATTGTGAGCCTTAGTTTAATGGAACTCGGTCTGGCCAACGTGGAAGGATTGTCAGTTCTCCGATCATTCCGGCTGGTAACTAATTAGCAGTATCTGTACTTAACTTTGTAATTAATTAGTCTTCTTTCTTTCCTAATAACAGGCTCAACCTATTTCAAAAATATAATATAATTTGAAAACATATGAAAATGTAGTGCCCTTCCATGAAATGCAATTCTTTCTTCATGATGGCTTTGATAAATATATTGTTCTAAAAAATATATATATTGTTCTATTCCAATAAACAACCAATAATGTCTGTCTCTCTCTCTCTCTTTCTCTCTCTCTCTCTCTCTCTCTCTCTCTCTCTCTCTTGCAATCAAATAATGAGTTTGGTGGAAGAAAAAGGGGGGGGGTGGTCACATATCAATCCAGATTACAATCACCATAGTCAACACAGTTATCTGATTTGTATAACCAAACATGAGGTGCCAATGGGGCCTTGGATTGTCTACTTCATCCCCTGAGAAACTAATACTTGGAATAGGGTATGGGGATGGAGGAGAATAAAACAAAATGGCTCCTTGAATATTTTTCCTTCAACCACATCGGAAAGTTATCAAACCTGCTCTCTGAGAATCACTACCTACAGTGTATTCTGATTTTAAATTAATTATCTTTCATTTGATCTTTTTTATTTTGTAACTATTGGCTTCTTTTTAAGTTAAAAGACTACACATGATTTGACACACTTCTGGTAAGGGTTTGGTATATTTTATTGTATATGTTCTGACTGGGGCTTGGTTCTATTTTCGAATAATAAAGGTTGAGTATAGTTACCAAAAAATTCTTATAGGTGACTTATTGCACTGTTAATTAATCTTGAGACGTTGATTTGATGTTTATTTGGTACTTCCCTTATGAATTTCAGAGTTCAAATTTGAGCTGAGTTCCTTAGAACTATGATATCTTTCCCTAGTCTTCAATGAGAGTTATGGATCTAATCAGAAACTAGAAGGATGCAAGAACTGCAGAAAACAATTAGAATAGTTATAATGACAGGTTAATATAGACAATGACTTTGTAGGAAGAATGTTTAGTAAACCTTTGTGATAACTGATACAATGTAGGGAACTGGGGATCCCAGTATCATTATAATCTTGCATAATGTACCAAGTGCTTTTTCATAAATTATCCCTTGGAATGAATTAAGCAATCTGGGCTTCTACTCACTCCTATGAGGCACTTAGATGGCATTAAATAATACACTACTGTCTGCCTGATGTCTACTTAAGCATCGGAAATAAAATGCTTCTGCTATTTAACTGATGAAGATGCTTGAGGGACCTCTGCCAACCAACACCACCAGTTTGTCAGGTCCAGTGGCAAGGGGACAGGTACCCTCTGTAATGATTTCATTCTTAAGTTACCGACGACATCAAGGTTGAAAAAGCCTCCTTCTAACATAAATCCTAAAAAAGTATAGTCTAATATTACAGCAACTAAAGATACAGCTAGATGAAAATCATGCAAACCCTCCAAGAAACGCATTCATCTTTCTATTTTAACTTATGCAGTGTGTGCCATACATCTTTCAAATATACGGAAAAACACGGTCACTCTGAGCTGTTAAAAACTAGCTGTACTTCTTTGAAAGTGAGTCGCTGTGGATTGACCTACACGACCTTTAAATGTCTTAGTTAAAAGCAAACAAGCAATGACAATAAAAAGAATGCAAATGCTTCTATAGCATCCCCTCCCTCCTTACCAGCTGACCGTGTGTGTGTGTGTGTGTGTGTGTGTGTGTGTGTGTGTGTGTGTGTGCTACATCTGGCAGATAATTCTTTGGCACACGAATAATCCATCATTCTACAGTTGATAAATATTTGCCATATATTTCTGCTGTAAATAATAATACAGATGCTTCTGCGGGGCAAGGTGTTCACAATATTCTTCCATTATTTTTTTCCAGCTTAGAGTCTTCAAGCTGGCAAAATCCTGGCCCACACTGAATATGCTCATCAAGATCATTGGCAACTCGGTGGGCGCCCTGGGCAACCTGACCCTGGTGTTGGCCATCATTGTCTTCATCTTCGCCGTGGTCGGCATGCAGCTGTTTGGAAAGAGCTACAAGGAGTGCGTCTGCAAGATTTCCAACGATTGTGAGCTTCCACGCTGGCACATGCACGACTTCTTCCACTCCTTCCTGATCGTGTTCCGCGTGCTGTGTGGAGAGTGGATAGAGACCATGTGGGACTGCATGGAGGTCGCGGGCCAGACCATGTGTCTCACTGTCTTCATGATGGTCATGGTGATTGGCAACCTCGTCGTAAGTAGTAAAATCATGTTTCTCCTATTCAGTCACAAATAATATGGTTTTACAACTGTTTGAATGAAGACTGTTTTATGCTTTAGGAAGGATGATTTTGGAAGGCTTTTATTTCCAGTTGCCTATTACATAAAGATTGCAGGAGCCATGAATGATTTAGACGTCAGTGGTTTGCACACCCTCTTGAGCCAAAATGCCTCTTGAGCCAAAATTTTTCCTTAATCTTCTATGGTGAAGAATGCTCCTGGTTTTATATTTCCATACAAATATGGAAGTATAAACAAAATAACTCATTTTATTTACAATTGTTAACAATGGTATCTTTGGAAAACGTTTTAATTTTGGGTCTCCTCAAAATTAAGATGAAATCTTACTGAACCTCTCAACTGCAGACTAATATTCAGAAGCTCCTCATACCTAGGAATTACAGCATGAGTGAGTAACATTGACTTGAAACAATTTATAATTTATTAATTTCTGTATTTATAAATTTCAGTCTTTGTAATTTCTTTAGTAAGTCAACTATGTGCTGGGTCTTCGAAGCAAGGATACGATAATAAGAAAACTGAGACTCAGTGTCAGGACATTAGCTGAGATAAGAGTCCATGTTCAGAATTTGAAAGCAAAGCACTGTATTTTACCTTCACATAATGGAAATATTGTTTTGCTAGGAAGGCTCAGTTTTCATTAAAGAAGGTGGATCTGAAATAGCTGTGGTGTAAGATTTAAGCTATAGGGACAAAGACGATTGTCCCCAAACTAAGGAATAGTCAGTGCTCCCTGCAGCTGGCAAACAGGATAGTAGAAGGAGCAAAGCCTCATCCATCAAACCCTGAAGACTGGGCAGTTTCCATGGATGCAAGCTAAGGATTAGGAGCATCTGAGCTGTTGAAGCTCAGCCAGTCTTGAAATTGCTGTCAAGATGTTTAATGCGGCCACAATCTTGACTGGGATGAGAGGAGCAGCTTCCAAGAAGGCTCCATATCTTGATTGTCAGCAAGTGGCTTCATTTCTTCACTGGCTGTTGAAAGAAGGCTATAGATTCTTTCCATAGAATCGTTGAGTGTCCCCATTCCTCAACAGCTAGCCTGCTCCACTTCAGACAGTACCAGAGAGAGGGCGAGAAGACAGCCCATAATCCTGAAAATCCTGAAAACCGCACTCACTGGGCTGTGATCTGTTTACAAGAAGCTACTTACTAAAAGGAATGTATATATCTCAAAATATTACAGTGTTACTCTACAAATACATGTTAGCATTGTATGTTGATTAAAAGCAAAACAAAACAAGAAAACCAAGTCCAATATTGAACATCATATGGGAGGATTCAATGACATAGATAAAATTTTTCATGATAGACAAGGACATCCCATTAATAAACCTTACAAAATTAAATCCAAATATAATTGTGGCACTCTTAGTTCACCTTGCTTACAGATAAAAACTCAGATTGAGTATTTAATATTTTTTTATTTTATCTATTTTTTACCCAAGTAAGAAATTCAAAGGTGAGTCAGAGTAGAACAAAGATATTAATAGATGTCTGAAGTAGAGGGACAGGTAGGTCTCAGTACGGCTGTCAGAGCCACGGCAGAGTGATTGACAGGTGGTCAGTATAGACCTGACTTGCTTTCATCCTGGCTGACTCTTCTAACCTTACACACATCACTGCCATTGTCACTGAAAATCTTCCAGCGTCCACTTTTGTACTATTGGCCTAGCATTTCATTGCTGTCCTGTTTTATCCTGAATAATCAAGGGCTGTGTCACTCAAACCCTGGGGAAGAAATAAAGACCGCTATGTTCTTAACAATATCTGATTTCTCTGTTGCCTGCCTGGTCTACAGACTTAGAGATGATGATACCACAAATGTCATTTTCATTCAATATTAACAACAATATTATTATATAGCAACTATGTCTTTACTGTGTTTTTGTTATGTGAACACAGACAGCTACTACAAAGTTTTTTGAAACAAAATTAGGACTGTCACTCCAGCAATAAATACAGCTTTCTGGAATTTAGCATGTTACCAAAGTGGAAAATGTTGCAATGCTACAGAAGCCAAAACAGATTTAAGTAGGCAGGAGTTCTATTTGGCTCGAGAAATCAACTTAGAATAAATATTCACTGTCCTAAGAAATACAGATTATATGTTCAAAATAGCAAGTGTCCGAAAGAGCGTGTTTCTTTGACTGCAGGGTGGTCTAGATTCTTCTGGATGTAAAGTCGATAAGGAAGTGCCATGCCGTGGCAGCTTAGTGATTTTGGAATGAACCAGAAACAGAGTCTGAATAGTATTTGCTGCCAGCCATTTGTTTGTTTTTACTTCGCTGTGTTTCGGGAGACTCCATCTTTAAGGGGATGTCTGAAGGGAATGCCAAATCTCACAGTGGACGCGAGGAAAGCAGGCTGTCCGATCATTCTCCCTCCGCTCTCTTTTAGGTTCTGAACCTCTTCTTGGCCTTGCTCCTCAGCTCCTTCAGCTCTGACAACCTTGCAGCCACAGATGATGACAATGAGATGAACAACCTCCAGATAGCCGTGGGCAGGATGCAAAGGGGAATCGACTTTGTTAAAAGGAAGATCCGCGAATTCATCGAGAAGGCCTTCGTGAGAAAGCAGAAGGCTTTGGATGAAATCAAACCCCTTGAAGATCTGAACAATAAGAAAGACAGCTGTATCTCCAACCACACGACCATAGAAATAGGCAAAGACCTCAATTACCTCAAAGATGGAAACGGGACAACCAGTGGCATAGGCAGCAGCGTGGAGAAGTATGTGGTAGACGAGAGTGACTACATGTCATTCATAAACAACCCCAGTCTCACGGTGACTGTGCCCATTGCCGTCGGAGAGTCTGACTTTGAAAATTTAAATACAGAAGAATTCAGCAGCGAATCAGATATGGAGGAAAGCAAGGAGGTAGGAATCTTAAAATAAAGGCTTATCTTGGTGCGTGCTTCTGTGGCTTTAACACTATTTGATATTTTATAGTATACTTTGCTTCCCTGAAAGAAAACAGGAAATATCTACTGTAACATTCATGTAGTAGAACTGATTGATAATTTAATGTTAGGTTATCCTGGCTAGGCAAATGTCATCATGGCTTAATTTTTCAAATAGTCGCTTTCCTAGCTCGCAGTATTTATATGAATTTTTCGAAGCATTTTAAAAAGAGGTTTAGGATACTGCCTCAGCGTGTTTGCTTTCGTCCTTATAATTCTCCACAATAATGGTTTTCGTATTACTGAAAGATAACTAATGAAAAAATGGTTCTTGTTCTCATCTTGTTGTATTCTTGCCTGTAGTGAAATACTTCATAAAAGAACAGTATCTAGTTTCTTGAGATCTGTTAACTCATGCTAAACTGATTTGGAGCTTAGCTTGATGGTATTTAGTTTTGTGTTTCCTAAAGTTGATTTTTTTTTTTTTAAGGAAGAGACATTTGTGATAGGGAATTGTGTCTAACCCAATTGAGTGCAATTAACCCTTGTATGCACGGGAAGCCCTCATATGTTATTGAACACAAATTCTGAACTTACCTGTGCATGTCTTCAAAAGACAGTCTTTGATTTGTGAGATGATTTTATCAATACCTGTGAATGTGTGTTGTGTTTTTTTTATTAACCCCTGAGTTAAAGGGAAAAATGAGTGTCTAAATCAATGTATTTTTGAAGGGTAAATAACTGAATGGCCCAGAGGGTGTGAAGTCATTTGAAATAAGTACTCTTTTGTGTTTTCCCCAAATTAGCTTGATTCTTTATCAGCTTTCTGCAGTACCTCAAATATAAATTCATTTAAAATCCATGTCCTAATTCTGGGGGTGGGGAGGGGCTTTGACTATATTTAATGCAATTCCTGTTACGATTCTTGGATGCCTGTTTCTCTTTTTAACTTTTGGGATAATTCTGGATCCATGCTTGAACGATAACCTCCTTTCACAGAGAAATTTAGTGCTCTAATATGGTGACCTTCACTTCTGACCATTCTTACTTCTCCCAGGCGTGAGACCAAGCTGGAGCCGTCAAGAATGCCTCTCTGGTGTTTTTTAAGCCGCCAGAGGCTCGAGCCACCACTTTTACCCAGGTTACCAAAGCAAGTTGTGCATATATAAATATACTCGGTGTCGAAATGACTTGACTGGCCTGCATGTTACTCAGCTGCGTCCCTCGCCCATCCATTGGCAGTACTCTAAGGACATGCACAGCTGCTCCTAGGTTGGGTCGTTTAGAGCATGGTCAGGCAAGGCTGACAACCCCAACTTCTTTCTTTTGTTTGAAGGAAAATGGATTTAGCTGCTAATTTCTTTGTGTAGATTTTAATAGAAACTATCTACTCATTTAAAAGGGAAAATGCATGCCTTTGCGGAGTTAGTGACTTCCACTTCAAGTCACAAGTGTGGAACATGCTAGTGGCCTGGAGGAGGCTTGTAGGTGCTCAAAAAAAAAAAAAAACACTGTAGAAAAGCTTCTGCCTCTTTGTTTTTGTATTTTTTTTGTTTCCTTCTACTCCTTTTAAAATACATCACCAGGAAGTGTGTTTTGTCGGTTATATTCTGCTCAGTGTCTGAAGGGTAATATGCAAATTAAAGCGATCCCTCAGCCACATGCAAATTTCCCATCAGACTTTCAATGTGATAATAATGTAAATGAATGAGAGTGTTCGCATTTTGTTGCTGCTGCCAAGGGTATAATTTTCATCCGCTTCATTTTTGGGGAAAGGGCAATGCTTTATTTAGAAATTGACCAAGAGCCTTTTTTTGCATTTAGAATGATTCCCTTAGAGAGTCTGTTTATGTTTACTCGTAAAATTCCTAGAAATGTACTCATTCACCAAAGCAAAAATCAGAAAGGAAGGGAAAAAAGAAGGAAGGATGGAGGAAGGGAGGTAGGAAAAAAGGAAGGAAGGAAGGAGAAAGAAAGGAAGAAGGAAGGAAAGAGGAAGGAAGGAAGGAAGACGGAGGAGGGAGGGAGGAAAGCAGGAAGGAAGGAAGGAAGGAAGGAAGGAAGGAAGGAAGGAAGGAAGGAAGGAAGGAAGGAAGGAAGGAAAGAGGAATTTTGTCTTCTACCTATCTTTATGTGGTGTGCTTATTGAGAAAAAAGATCTGGAGTCCGTCATCCTCATCCCTTTACCCATTGTAACTTCCTTCTCAACCCCTTCTCCACAGCTCCTATCAAGCTTAGTCCATGGCATAGTGCACATGCACCATGCTTCATAAAGACCTCCATAGGAAAACCACAGCGGGCGCTTGTCTCGGTTTGTATTATTGAGAGAACCCCATTACTGTGTGTAACTATTCTGTAAGCTCTTTCTATTGAACTTTTCATTATCTAATATTGAATTCCATGCACAGATATTTAAACCAAATTGTTTCTTCCAGTTCCATCAACTTTTGCAGAAATGTTAGTAAGATACTTTATCACTTAGAATTAGTGACGTTAAAACTGTAAAATAGCTCATAATAGAAGAATGTTGAGCTCTTTTGAAAGGAGGAAATACCATAACCTTATCAAAACATTCTTTGATGCTTTGGAAAAGAATCAGTTGCTAGTACTCCTGTGTCTGTCAGAAGAATAGTGTATAATATCTAAGATGAAGTTTTCTCGCCGGGCGGTGGTGGCGCACACCTTTAATCCCAGCACTCGGGAGGCAGAGACAGGTGGATCTCTGTGAGTTCGAGGCCAGCCTGGTCTACAAGAGCTAGTTCCAGGACAGGAACCAAAAGCTACAGAGAAACCCTGTCTCGAAAAACCAAAAAAAAAAAAAAAAAAAAAAAAAGTTTTCTCCCCTAGTAAATGTTAATTCTTTATTGTCTTTAAGGTAACGATTTGCTTTTCCTAGTTTCTTATAAAGAGGCAAGGTTAGTTCAGTTCCCTCAGCCTCTGAATAGTCCACTTCCTACTTTCTTTAGGGAAAAGGCACTGAGAGAAATAATAATCGAGTACATGACCTTTTAAAGCATTGAGCCAGGGTATCAGCAGATCAAAGGAGAACTGATTCTTGTAATCTTCAACTTTTTTTTTTTGAAGTCTTTTACAATCTCTTTTGGAAATATGGTTCATTCCCTAGAAGAACATACTAAAGTCCCACATGAAAGGCATGGAGGAGTCTAAAGCATACCGATTAGATGTGATCAAGCTTTGGTGGGAATGATATCAGTGGATAATAATTCATGATTTTTTTCAGAAAACGAGTATCCCTCACTGGAAAAATTTTCAGTGGAGTAGTGATAAAGACAAAAAACAGCTCTACATATCTTTACTATCAGACCAAAATGGGCCAGACACATGGATATCTGCTGAGGGTCGTCCACCGCAATATAAATCATTTTTTGCAACTCCAAGGAAACTTAAAGTCTGTCGTCTAGGATTTAAAGTTTGTAATAAAATATCCACCATAAATAATACAATGGTTTTTTTGTTAAATCACCCTAATGAACATGATGTTTTGGTTTGACAATATTTTGTGATTCCTGATTGTAAGGGAAATATCAACTCTTCCTTTTTAACGTCACTGTGTCACTGTGGCTGTAAAAGTCCATCACCCAATCAGACCATGATCTCCAATGTGGTGATGTTAGCATCACCCCTGAAACATCAACTGGTGCTCCTGCAGTATATGCTAGCAGCAGGATCCAGGACTAAACGCTCGCCATTCTTTGACAGTAAAACCGTAAAAGCTGGAATACTTGATTTAATCTACATTTGAGGTAATACAGATTTTTAAAAATCTTAGTGTTTTATTATTACTATTAAGTTAGAATATATTTTGTTCTCAAAATTTTGCACAGCACTTACTAATTACATTTAAAAATAACTTAGCTTTAGAGTAACAAATGTGAAATAGACTTTTTCTTAACTTTTCTCCAATCAGGATTTAATTATTTTTAAAATTATTTATGTTCATTGGCTTTCTGGAGTGTTATTAATTTGGCACACTGCAGTTTAATAATAATTTACTGTTGATAAAGAAAAGAAAACTTGAAAAATATAATCCTTAAACTTAAAAGATGGGTTGTAGGGTCAGGAGCAATAGCTCCGATTGTGAGATGCCTGCTGTGCAGGCACAAGAGTGTGAATTTGGATCTCCAGAGTCCACGTGTAAGCCAGGTACAGCAGTGAGTGTCTGTACCCCAGCACTGGAGTGAGACAGAGACAAGGGGATACCTAGGACTTATCCCCAGTCAGCCTCTCCAAATCACTGAGTTCTGGGTTCAGTAAGAGACCCGGATTCAAAAACTAAAGTAGAGAGCAGTGGAGAAACACACAATATCAACCTGTGACCTTTCCATGCACACACAGATATACATGCACCAACATATACATATGCACAACATGACCTTGTACATACAACACACATATACATCCCAAAAACATGCAATAGTGCAGTTTGGTATTATTAGATCAGCAAGAGAAACGTGATTCTTCGCTGCTGAGTTTATAGAATTTTGAATAACTACTTAATAATAATAATAAGTATCATCAATATGAGCAGTTCATAAAATGTAGCTTTTAACCCGAATATGTTTCATATTTCTAACGAGATTGATTGCTGCTGGTTTACATAGCTGCCCTCTCTATATATAGACTGTTCTTATATAATCTATTATCCCAGTCTTGTATTGTACCCATATTTTAACTGGGCAAATTTAACTGGGCAAATGTTGCTTCAACAATATCATTCCACCCATTTATTTCCTCCTAAGTTAGGTATGGAAGGAAATTTAAATATTTCAGTATTGCCAGAGGGAAGTAGAAAACTCACTAAATTCCCGCTATTAGAGCCCGCTTGTCTTTTGCTTTCTTACTTTGCAGCACTTTCCAATGTGTGATGCCCAGATCAGGGTACTACCAGACAGCCTGAAATGGAGGCACTTTGTTTAAGAATGTAAACTCCGCCTTTAATCCCAGCACTGAGGAGGCAGGTGCAGGCCGATCTTTGTGAGTTTGAGGTCAGCCTGGTCTACAGAGTGAGTTCCAGGACAGCTATGGCTACACAGAGAAACCCTGTGTTGAAAGAGAGAGAGAGAGAGAGAGAGAGAGAGAGAGAGAGAGAGAGAGAGAGAGAGAGAGAGAAACACAAGTTCCAACAGTGACTGACAATGATATACCCTTGACAGCTCTAAGTGGCAAATTCGCACGGTGGCCGGGATCATCTTAGTTAGGAACTGATCTGAAGTTTATAGTTTCTATAGTTCTTAATTCATTTAATTTTGTAGGATTTTAATACATTTTAAGCAACATATTTTATCAACATGATAACATTTAACTCCTATACAACAGAATGATTGAATTGAAATGAGGAATTTTATTGATCATCAGTTTTTGTTGGTCGTCTCCAGTATGATTTGTGATGAAGGTTTTTATTCATGAGATATTTCAATGCATGTTTTCTTCTACATTAACATATACAGGAATTATGGATATGACTCGACACTGAGGTTCTTAGCTATGATTCATCTAAGTCAGCAGTATCATAAACACTATCTCGAATCTATAATGTTGAGTCATACATCCAGTCTGCTAAATGTTCCAAATTCACGAAGGTTGCATTTACTCGTGAATCATCAGAGAAATTTCCGAGAATGCGGTAGAAGAATAGAGTACAGAAAGCCTAGGGCATAGCCACTCATTAACTCTGACATTGACAAGGTGAGTAAGCCCATAGATAGTGGTGTGATGCCTCGCTGTGAAGCATGGTCTTTGCTATAGTAAATTAAACACCACAAGCGTAAGTACACACACTAACATGTGTGGAAGACTGTATGCTATTGCTCCTTGGGGAAGGGGAGGGGCAGCTGCTGTTTCAGAGGTTCCTGTTCGCTCTGGAACAGTAAATCCACATATTTAGGGGAGAGAGAAGGAAACTAGATCGAAACCAACTGATTCAGTAGTAATTTTCCTTATAGCTGACCTCATGGGCTCCTCTTAATTATGAATGAATACTTGGCAGCCTGAGAGGCGCTCCTAACTTTAAGAATTGTTGATCATCATTTAACATCCCTGAATATCTAAGGAATCTTGATACTCTGCGATTAATTATATTCCTTTGAACCTGGAAGAATCGATCAAGCAGGAAGAAGTAGAAGTACTTAAGAGGCTGGAGTCTGTAAATAGGTCATGAGGCCACACATTCATTGACACAGGAAACATTCCCTAATGAGAAGAATGGGTGATCGGTGCGAGGGATATGGTAATGACAAAAATACAGGCTTCTGTCCCCAAACCTTAAACCTAGTGAGGTGCATATCCCAGAATCACAAAACACATTTTAAGCTACACTTTATATAAAAGTAATAAGCTGAGTGTTGAAGTTCATTGCAAAATTCTGCTGTTGCTTCTTTAATGGCACTGAAGGGCCTCGATATAATGAAAAGGAGTTGTGTATATTTCTTTTTCACTATGGTTTGAGGAAGAGAAAACAGAGAAGGGCTTTGACTAAATTATCCACAGATAAGACCTGTAAATATTTTTCAAAAAAAAAAACAGAAAAACACATAAAGAGAATTCTTGTTTACTTTGAGGTATGATGAACTCTAAATAGAGCAAATTGACTTTATCTTTTTTAAAAAAAAATTTTAACAAGGTATTGAAAACAAGTGATTGGCTTGGTGACTTGTTCATTTAATGAAGAGCAAATTGGGACTCCGAGTAAGCTGTGGGGGCTGAACTGTATTGTTGCAGCCTCATCCATAAGGCTCAGGGTACTGTTAATGCCCCTAAATTAGCTCACACGTGTGTGGCAAATACTTCAGTTTCTCTATCTGAAATACTTCCGCCCATCCTTCTTGATAGGCCAAAATGAATGAAAAATCAGTAAAAGTTATGAAATGTCCAGAACACCCAAGTTAGTAAAACGGTGGAGCGGAAGAAACTAGGAAGTGGAAGGACTCATACATTTAAGGGAGGACAAACGATGGTTGTGAAATAGGGAAAAAGTGATGGATTCCGGTGATGTTGGTCTTCATGACATCTTTTAAAATATTGACAACCCAGATATGTGGTCATAGGGGTGATAGCTGGCGTTGCAGAGAAACTTTTGAAGATTTTGAATCCTATGACATTTTATGTGGTGACTACTTCAAAACATCGAGTACCAGACGTCATTCTGTTATGAAGCCCTTCATTTCTATATCCACCCATCCATTCATTTCCAAGTAATATTTATTGAGTATCTAAGCTATACTTACTATTGGTTGTATTAGTTAATTTTCCCATTGCTGTGATAATATACTCACAAAAGCAACTTCAGAAAGCATGGAAGAGTTCAGCTCTCAGGAGCTCACAGGAAGGAAGGCACAGTTGTCAGAGTATGAGCTAACTGGTGCCATGGCATCCACAGGCACAAAGCAGACAACATTGATTGCTGTCTCTCTGCTCACCTTCTCCTTTTTTTTAGTGAAGACCCCACCCTATGGGATGGCGCTGTCCACGTTTGGGGTGGATCCTCTCACCTCTGTTAATTCTGTCTAGAAATTCTCTCACAGATAAGCCCAGGGGTTCGTCCCCGGTGTGATTCTGGAACCTATCATGTTGACAATCAGATCAACCATCCTGCTGATGTCTGTGCTGATACAGCCATTGACCTGTACCAACATGAGCACTGACATAAAGAGGGACCTGAATTTTTGTATTAGAATGTCCATTCTGCATTTCCGATGTTATCCTCTTTATTTTTTTTTTTTAGAAAAGGGATTTATTTATTATGTATACAGTATTCTCAGTGCTCTGCCTGCAGGCCAGAAGAGGGCACCAGATCTCATTACAGATGGTTGTGAGCCACCATGTGGTTGCTGGGAATTGAACTCAGGACCTTTGGAAGAGCAGGCGGTGCTCTTAACCACTGAGCCATCTCTCCAGTCCCTGTTATCCTCTTTATTAAGAGGAATGTTTTCCATTCTTACTATGTAGAGTTAAGTCAGATGTGACTGAACTTCAGGTTGTCCTGTTCCCTGTGCTGTGTTTCTAAGCCCTATATATGACAAAGCCTGTGTCATCTGACCTCTAAGGTGTAATAACAATTTCTACAAGTGATGGAAGATTGTTTTAGGAGTCAATCACATGGCTACAAATCCAAGTGTACTTATGTAAGGAAGAGTCAAACCTAAAAGAAAGGATATGCACTCAGAAAAGGCCTCAAAACTTGGAATATTTATAATAAATTTTAATTTGATGTCTCATCAAAGAATAAAATATACACAAATTTTAATTGCAAAGGGGTTATCATCTGCTAATATCATAAAATTTTCAACAAGGAGAAAATCAGCTTATAACTTTTAACATTTTTTGGACAAATTTTAAGTAATTACAAAACTAATTCTTAGAAAGCAGGAGTATATAATATTATTGGTATTGTTAAATTAGTTAAGATATTTCAATTTCATATATATATACATAATCCTTTCTTCATATGAACTCCAAACATGCTAAGTCAACACGTCATACAAATAAAATTGTGTTCATGCTAATAAAGAATCAGCTTATTAGGAAATTATCCATGTAATTCTTACCCGAAATGTGAGTAGAGTCTTTCCCATCGAAACTCTAGCATTCATTTGATTCCAGTGTTCCATGTGTCAGTGTTCATCTTATCATGTGCTTCCCTCATCCTCTTGGTAAAGGTGCTCTCGGAGCTCAGCCACCTCTAATGTTATGCACTGATGGTAATAACATTGTAACAGGTTCGAGAATGCTGTGGCCTAAACTACTCTGGTTCCATGCGGCACTCACACCTGGCCCTGCACCAAGCCTGTAGCTTTGTAAAATCAGGCTAAAGACTGGGACCTCGCTCTTTAGGCTGGTCCCAGGGATACACTGACCTGGAGAAAGCGAATGCATGCCAATATTTGAGACGACTTCTTACCTCTATAGTTTCCCTTGGATAATTTTGATTGAACCCAAAGGAAACAAAATAACATGGAATGATTTGTTTCTGCCGTTTCTAAGAGGACAGGCAAGAGTGCCAAAGTAACAGGTAGTTTCCAAATGCACAGTGAAACCCAGGAGTGCATTGGCCAAAGAGAATGCGAGATAGCTGCTCTTGCTGGATAGCTAACAATGTGCTGCTCTTCCCTCAAATAGAGAGTTATAGAATGTCTCTAATAATAACCAGTAGTCTATGTTTTCATGTCAATGAAAAGCGGAAAAAAATTTAGAATGTTGCTGTTTATGTGCATTTGACCCAACCTTTTCTACATTTGACATGAAAATACACTTGTGCAGCTTTTGTTGGGCGGGTCACAATTTTAGAATAAAACGAGTTATACCATTGACAAATGAAATTTGCCAAAGCAAGATCCCAGTGACCATCTGGCTGGCAGTTTGCATAAGCTCTCTGTAGAATTCTATTTCAGAAACCTCATAGATGGGCTTAAACAAAAGCTATTTAAATTGCACTGTGTTTAAGAAAAAAAATATACATATATATATTCTACAGTGCTGTATCTAATCTTGTGACCCCCACCTCTCCCAAAGCAGATTGGCATTGTATTTAAGTTATTCTTAAATTACAGATCAAGAGAATGCTTACTGAAGACCGGGGCGGGGCGGGGCACGACTTAGGAATGTTTGTTTGGATTAGAGAACGTGTTTAAAAGCTTTTCTGTGGGGTTGGTTTTCAGAAATTGAACGCAACTAGTTCATCCGAAGGCAGTACAGTGGATATAGGTGCTCCGGCAGAGGGAGAACAACCCGAAGCAGAACCAGAAGAATCCCTCGAACCAGAAGCCTGCTTCACAGAGGGTAAGTAAGCAATGGGGTGGTTTCAGTAGCCCTACTTTTTTTTTTTTTTTTTTTTTTTTTTTTTTTTTGGTTTTTCGAGACAGGGTTTCTCTGTGGCTTTGGAGCCTGTCCTGGCACTAGCTCTGTAGACCAGGCTGGCCTCGAACTCACAGAGATCCGCCTGCCTCTGCCTCCCGAGTGCTGGGATTAAAGGCGTGCGCCACCATC